AATGAATATTTATCTTTGGCTGTAAATGCAGTAAAAAGAAAACAATTATAATAGAACAAAAGACTTAATGTAAAATTAAGACTGATTATATAAAAATATTAAGATTTTTACATGAATAGAGTGATTTTAACTATGTACCAGTGTCATTTTTTTTTTAAAAACATAAAATAGGGGTCCACTTCACCTCTCCGAATATTTAAAATGGTTTATAATATAAATAAAACACCCGCGCCACTTCACCCCACATATGTGGGTAAAGTGGACCACTTTTTAGAGCAAAAAAAAAAAGGTATAAAAAACTTTGAAAAAAAAAAATCATGAATTCAAATCACGTATTCATATGTATAGATTATATATTCCAAGTTTCAATCGTTTTGATCAAATAGATTCTTCGGAATCTTAAGAAATATACCAAAAACTGGTCCACTTCACCCCGTCTTACGGCATATTCAAAAGCCATAATGCTGCGTGGAAACAATAATATAAATGCTTATAACTGAAATTAAACAAAATTAATACACATTAACTATTATAATATCTATACTTACTAATTTAAACTGTATATGATTCAGACACAATAGGTTTATTTAATGCCTGATTCGTGTTGATGAATACCAATCAGAAGTTTGATAAGAATTACCTCAAGTTGTTGGTTACAAATAGCAGTTATTATGTGTATTTACTTTGTATGTATATTCATGTGTTGTTCAGGCCCAGGATGTAGACTAAAATATAAAATAACTTTTATAAAAATATAGTTAAAAGTTTAGATACTGTTGTTTATCATAACCTACCAATAACATACCAATTTACCAATTTAAATATTGGACATAACATTGAGGTTATGTTTATAGATTTTATCACGGTCTTAAAATCATATATAATAGCCATGGAGACTAGACTCTAGTATTCATGATAATAGCATAGACATATGAGATGGGGGCACAGATATGTATATAATATGATATGTGAATATACCATAGAGTAATAGTGATAATAATTACTCTATGGAATATACCAGACAGTAAATAAGAAATATTATCCAGCGCGACAGTAGTGGCGCGAAGCTAAGTAAAAAAAAAAAGCGAAGCGGTCACTACCGTAGTATATTACACGAGCCAGAGTTTGCCCATTGAATGTGTGTAAATTTGTCCGTTTTCTTTAGCCAGGGCTACAGACCTAATGAATGAACGGATTGGTCTGTTTGTGGTATCAATAGATCGGGCATGATTTGTAGATTATACCTTTGTCATTTTCGAAAAAATTGGTTGAATAATAACGAATATGTTAGCAAAAAAGTCAAGTATTTTTGAAGCAAAAAGATATTGTGCTCGACCGTTTTTAGTTATTACGTTTCACGCAGCAGCGCACGAGACCGTATTACCCCCTCTATTCCGTATACGTTTTCGTCGCGGTCGTACACTGGGCAGCGGTTGCGACTTGCGGGTCCCGCCGATGCCCGCGTCTTCGCTTATCGTATTCGTTATTTCTGTTATCGAAATTCATGTTTCTGGTGACGTTCGGTGTAGATGTGTTTATTCGCACCCGCGCCGATAGAAAAACCACGTTTTATTTGTTGTCTCGTTTGTTACAGTGTTGTAGTATATTATTTATTTATATTATAATTTGTGATTCTTTATTTCTAAAATGGTTTCTAAGACATACAAACAGAAGTTACGAAAAAGGATAAATTATTTTTAAAAAAAAACCACTAATACAGTGTGTATGGATGAACGTTCAATAAAAAATTCGATCACCATAACCACAAAAAAAAATTCTAAGAAATCAAAAAAAATATTTCCATTTTATGGAAGCGTAGAAAAGTGGACTAATAAACTTATGCATAAATTAAATATGCCACTGTATAAGTCTAGAATTGTTAAAGATAGGATTTTGAAATGGGTTTTTAAATTCGGAAAGCAAAACGTTGTTATTGATCAAAAGACATTTAAAAAACAAAAAAAAGTAATAAATAAGAACATTAACTATACAGCTAGTATTCCAGATATTAATGATGAACTAAACTACAATTTTCTTAAATTTATCTTAGGACAATCTTATCATTCCAAGTATACAGAACCATTTTACACAGATACAGTTTACAAGCCATTGAGTTCTATGAATAAAATTAAACTTGAAATAAATGAAAATGGTAAAATAATGAATTTATTTCAGCCATTTAACATAAAACTTCCAGAACTATCTTGGTATTGTAATGAGATGTTATGTAACTTAAATTATACATTATGCTATTCCAAGAGTTATTAAAATAGTTAAGCATCTATTAAGTACACCAATAACTGATTTTCCCAACATAATTAAAAATATTGACTTATGTACTAGCCAGGCACGGCGGAGCTATAAACTTGGGCACACTTTGTATTGTTATATTGATTTCAACTGTTCTTCAATTTTATTATTTTTAAATAGTTTAGGACCTCATTATTCAAGTATTAGGGAAATTGTTTCATGTATATACAAAATGCAAAGTGCACCAAAAATATTTCAAAAATTAATAATGCTATTTATAGTTTAAACATAAATATTTTAACTGAAATGGAAAAAAAATTTAAAAATCAAGGAAAATGTTATTATTTAGGTAGTTTTGAATTTAGTAATGAAGATGAGATACTTGAAACGTATCTCAGTCATTCGATTGTTTTAATAAAAGAATATTAGATTTACCTATAAATATTTGCATATCATGTCACAAAATGTGTTACAGACAGTATGTAACATGTCTTAATAAAATTAAAAAAATTCCTATTAATGAATATTGGAATAATCTTCTTGAATATGTTCAAGTAAATAATTTGCCAAATGAATATGTGTGTAACTACTGTTTGAAAATATTTCGAACAAATTGTTTACCTCCGACTTGTACTTAATAGTTTACATTCTCATGTACTTTCTAATTTAAATGACTATGAAACAATTTTAATACAACGATCTAAAGTGTTTCAAGTTGTTATAAAAATGGCTCCTGTATCTGGTAGAAACAGCCTATAAACTCAATGATAGAGAAATCTGTAGGAAGGGCTTTTCACTTACCTTTACCTATCGAAGAAACGCTTAAAAAGTTGCCTAAACCAACCCAGGCTATCGCTGACCATGAACTATATATTTTTGTTCGAAGCCTTCCCACTAAAAAAAAATCAAATATGGCAAAGCTTAGTAAACCTTCAAAAAGTTTATAAAGCCTTATTATGGTTAAAAAATAATAATGTGTTATATAAAGATATTGAAGTACCACAGTATAACATCTTTGAAAATGAAATTTTAAATATGGTAATAAATATTTAGTATCTGAATTGACGGACAGTGGTGAAAATACACTAAACAAAAATGAAAATGGTAATATTGTGGGTATTAATGATAGTTCTGAAATGTCTGAAACAAATGTTAACACAAATAATAGTATTCCAGCTATGCTTACTCAGAAAAAAACAACTGATGAGTTTTATGAACATTACACAATACATTCGCTTAATGAGCCTCGTAAAAACGCTAAAGCAACTGATTTGTATCAGATGTTAAAAATAGATATAAATCCAATTGATCAAAGAGATTTAAATTTAGATGTGAAATGTTTCCCAGTGTTATTTCCTTATGGGAAAGATGGCCAATATTCTGAGAGATTAGTAAATCTATCTTCTAGTGAATTCATTAAATCTCGTTTACTCTCAATGAATCCAATTTTTCGGACAAATATACAGTATTTGTTTTTCTTGTTACATGACGCTAATATAAGAGCACTTAAATGTGGAATTTATCACAAACTTAGTACAATTAAATCTAAAGATAAATTTACGTCATCTGAATGCTTAGAAATGTTAAAAAATGATCAATTAGAAGGAAATTTGACTACTATATTCGCTCGGTTAAGAAACACCAGTCAATATTGGTTAGGTCCTATTTCAGATATTGAAACCATGATAACGTGGTATGGCCCAGTGACATTCTTTTTAACTCTTAGTAATAATTGTATATAATTGGGATAGACTTGATTCTTATTTAAGGAAAGTAAATAATGTAACTGAAGAAGGAAAATCACTGTCAGCACTCATTGCGGATGATCCTATTTCAACGTCCCGTTTCAAAGATAATGAATTCAAAGCTATGCTCGATTTCCTTACGTCTAAAAACGGGCCTTTAGGGGTAATTGAATATTATGTGTGGCGGCGAGAGTATCAAACCAGAGGATTACAACATTTTCATATGCTGATTTGGATAAAAGGAGCCCCTGTGTGAGGCAACGCAACTAATGAAACAGTTGCTAATTTTATTGCAGATAAAATAACTCGTGTACAACCAGATAAAAACACATTTCCACAACTATCAGAGCGTGTAGATTTGTACCAAACTCACAAACACAATAACTATTGCTTGCGAAATATAAAAACGAATAAGGGAACAGTTCAATGTTGTAGATTTGGATTTCCAAGGCCTGTAACTGATCAATTTACAGTTCGGGACGTTGCTACGTCTATTGCAGGACGGCGTAATCTTAATTCTAAAAGTGGACTGTATGATATACCACGAAATAAAAGTGAAACATACATAAATGATTATAATCCTGCTATTCTTTTAGCATGGAAAGGTAATATGGATATTCAATTTATTGGGGAAAAACCATGCGCTCTAAGTTCCTATATAACCAAATATCAGACAAAACCTGGACAATCTTACGCTGCGCAATCATTTGATTTGATAAATAATACTAAGTCTTTGTCTTCTAAATTATGGAATTTAGCTTTACGTTTACTAAATAATAGAGAATGTGGATCATTAGAAGCAAGTGACGCATTGCTTAGTATTCCATTGTTTGGAACAGATTCTAACACCACAATAAAATGGTTAGATGTCAGCATTAACAGAAACAGGAGACTTAAACCTAAAAAAGAAATTTAAAAATTAGATAATCAATCTACTGATTTATTTTATCCTTCTCTTATTGATTTATCCTTCTCTTATTGATAATCATTACCCACATAGTCCACATGAAATGGAAGACAAAAGTTTATTTGATTATGCTAGCAAATGATCCACCACATGATTATGGGCCATTAAGTCAAGCTCTGAGACTAGTTCCCCTTTCTGTAAGGCGTGATAATTTTGATATCACTTTTATTCAGCGTCTGATCGAAGGTCAAGTTGATGCCCCAAGACTACTTGGAGAACTTAGCTTTCGTATTCCTAGTAACACTAGGCTTCAATGTAATTTTTATATACCCACCAATAAATCAAACTTCTCCAGGAATGCCCCACTTATACGAATGATGCATAATGCAAATAATCATATAGACTATTAAGCCATATGTAGTACGAAGACTCACATTTTTTTTTATTTTTTTTATTTTTTTTTTTACATTACTTACACCACATTGTTTTTTTGTTTTAATTACTTACTAATTCTTTTTCTTCTCTCTATAATTAATTTAGTATAAGTTATGCATCTTACATATATTGTATATGTTTCATACTGTTATCTATGTTCTTCTTGTCTGTTATTTTGTAAAAGCCGTCTGGCGTTGATTATAATAAATAAAAAAAAATAAAAAAAATAAAAAAAAATATGATATTGTAAAAAAAAAAACTATATTATAAACAACTAAAATATTACGATTATCCTGGTTTTGGATATTTAAAAGAACGAGATCGTCCATATTTAAGTAGAACCCTCAATTAGAACTAGAAAAATATTTCCATTCATTGCTGATGTTATTCAAACCTTGGAGAGATGAAGCTGAGTTACTTGAGGGGTCTATTACATATTTTGACGCATTTCTGCACTCCAGAGATGTAATAGAATCAGCAATTAATTATTATGAGCGTTTACAATATCTTCAGAAGTCGAAAGATGATTTAAATACTCTAATTGACGAAATAAATAATAAACAAGCACTATGTACCCCAGATGATTTTGATAATGAATTTCAAGCTAATGAGTTAAAAGACGTCATAGATGAGTTGCAAATGAATAAAGATACTAAAGGCGATTTCGAAACGCTAGCATCAAATTTAAATGGTGATCAAAAGCGAGTTTTTGAGTATATAAGGTATAAGCTTGGAAAGGAAAATGAACCACCGATACGACATTTTGTATCAGGAGTGGGGAGTACTGGCAAATCTTATTTAATTAAAACGATTAAAGCATATATCACAAGAGAATTGAATAAAAATGTAGCTATAACTGCACCAACGGGTATGTCGGCAAACAATATACAAGGTATCACTATTCATCGTATTTTGCAATTACTTGTAGAACATGTAGAACATGGAAATACACCGCCTTATAGACCATTATCTAATAATACAATTAATTAATTCGCGAAAAAATGAAAGATGTAATTTTGCTTATCATTGATGAAATAAGTATGGTTTCTAATATTACATTACTATATATCCATTTAAGACTTAGTGAAATATATGATACAGGTAATTGTGATGACGGTTGGTTCGGTAAAATAAATATATTAACGTTTGGTGATTTACTCCAATTACCACCTGTAAATGAGTTATCTCCATTTCTTCCTATGCAAGCTAAAAAATGTGATAAATATATAAATGCATTATGTACTATACATTTGTGGGAAAAATTGTTTGCATATGATGAATTGACGGATAATATGAGACAAAAAAATGATTCTATATACGCAAACATATTAGAGAGAATTCGAATAAACAATATAAGCCAATTTGACATAACAACAATAAATGAACGAACAATTAAGTTTAAAAGTAATGATAAAAGTGATATTATAAAACAATTATATCATCTTATAATACAATTACCTGAATCTACACTTGTTTTACTTCCAACAAGAAATTACTGTTCTATTTTAAACAACGGTATACTATCATTGTTACCTTCAGAAAATGTAGCTTGGTAGCAGTTGATTCTGTTGATTGTAAAGAAACAACAAAAAGCAAGGTCGTATGAAAACTTTCAAAGCTTGATGATGATAGTTCGAGAACAGCTGGTTTGGAGAAATATATTAATGTTAAACTAAATTGTAAAATAATGTTACAAAGAAACATAGATGTAACAAATGGTTTGGTTAACGGTGCAATAGGAACGATTGTAAATGTAATTAATGGAATGGACGGGGAACCTGAAAAAATTCAAGTAGTATTTAATAATAAATGCTATTATCTTGAACGCATTACTGATAAATTCGAAGTATTTCACGGGGCATATGTTTATAGGAAACAATTCCTTATAACAGTGGCTTATGGAATAACAATTCATAAAAGCCAATGTATGTCTCTAGATAACTGCATCATAGATGTAGGTATACCATTTTTTTCATGTGGGCAAAGATACGTAGCACTATCCGGAGTGTGTAGTTTAAAAATTTCCATGTTATAAATTTTGACCCTAAGAATATAAAAGCGCAAGTAGTGGCAATTAAAGAGTATAATAGACTTAGAGAGAAGTATAGACCAGATTTAGGTAAGATACCTCTTTTATCCACAAAAATAGACACATTAAAGATTTAATATGGACAGATTCATCAAATATCCGTGCTAATAATGCCCAAATACCTTCAACTTCTTATCAAGATATTCCTCATCATACTATAGGTAGGTACCAGGCTTTTCCAATTCAAATAATATATCATGCTATGCAAATTCTTCTTTACATGCTATATTCAATTGTACACATATATTAAATAACATAATTAACTCTTCGGAACATTCTGTTCTGAAAAATCTTGCATTGTGTTACGTTTCACATGAAAATATTCTAAGTTCTTCAAGTATTAGAAGACAGCTTGGGCAACCTTTTATTAATGAAGAACAACAGGACGCTGCTGAATTTATTAGTGCTCTTATAAACATTTACGATCCACTAAAATATGAGCTATCTCATAAATTACAGATACAATTAGTTTGTTCTGCGTGCCATAATAAGAGAATACAAATAACTCAAAACTATATTATTCAACTTAACGTACCTAATGAAAATGAAACAGTAACTTTAAATGCAATGCTAGATTATTTATTCAGAGAAGTGTTAATAGAAGGCGTTAATTGCAGTGCCTGTAATACTATTACAGATCATACACAGATAACAAATATAGTAAATACTAATGAATATTTGTACTTTCAAATACAACTTTGGAGTAATGTCAATACCAAAATATCAAACCTAAGTATTCATGCATTACCCACTACAATTATTAAAGTTGATGGTAAATCGTATGGTTTAATCTCTGTCATCTGTCATCATGGTCCATCTATGAATGAAGCCCATTATACAAGCATAATTTCACATCAAAATAAATGGCTACGATGTAATGACACTGCAATACATTTTGAACGATGGCCTCGAGGGGGTAAAAATGTATATATTATAATAATGGAAAAAAAATTGAATATGAATTTAAAACAAAAAAATAGAGTATATTAAATAAAAAAACATAACAATAAAATAAATGAATTAAAATATAAAACATTACATATTACATGCCAGTACATAAAAATATGTTATAAAAAAACTACTGATATCCCAACAAAAACACTTCGTCGAACTCTGTGTAAAAAATTGCTAAGTAAAAAAAAACTAGTCATCTATAAGACTTCAGCATTATAAATATGTGATATCATAAATAAATTCTAAGTTAACTTAAATTTAAAAAAAAACTAGTAATTTATAATACTTAAACATTATAAAGATGTGATATCAAGAATAAATGCTAAGTAAATTAAATTTTAAATTAATATTGATTCTATCTCAATCATTTATTTACTTGGCTAGAATTTATTTCGACAAATTAACATGTCTATTCATAACTGGACTATTTAACAAATTTCCATGACAAATGTTACTAAATTTGTTTTATACAAAAGTCTTAATTATTAATTTATAAAGAAAATAAATTCTCGCAAAGTAAATAAATGATTGAGATAGAATCAATTAATTTAAAATTTAATTTACTTAGCATTTATTCTTGATATCACATCTTTATAATGTTTAAGTATTATAAATTACTAGTTTTTGTTAAATTTAAGTTAACTTAGCATTTATTTATGATATCACATATTTATAATGCTGAAGTCTCATAGATGACTAGTTTTTTTTTACTTAGCAATTTTTTACACGGAGTTCGACGAAGTGTTTTTGTTGGGATTATTTATATACTTGTTTTATATACTTTTTATATACTTCGTATGTTATTCAAAGACATTTTAAGTTAGGAAAGCATCGTCCATCATATTCTATACCTAATTGATTGATTGGTTGATGGCGGCGCACTCGTTCGTGTCATATCACATGGTGGTGGTGGCGTCAACATCGGCCGGGGCGTTTTCGGGATTCAATTGATCCAATTCCAATCCGTTTTCTTCTATGTTGTTGTGACGCTCCTGTTGATTGACACGATTATACAGTTTTTACGAGCAAAAAAAAATAATGTTTTTGAGATAGAGGTTAGGTTAACAAAAGTATAAAGTACTGTAAATAATATTATAGACAAGTACTTACACGTATAAACGGGAATATATCATTATAATGAGGTGGTGGTATGCGTATGACCTCATCATAAGGTGGTGGTGGTGGTACCACTTCATCATACAGCGGCGGTGGTTATTCCACCTCATTATTTAGTTCATTTATATTTACTGTAGTTTCACATTTTCTCCAGATACTAGTGAAACAAAAAAACAAACATACATTATAATAATATTAATGTGGGACGATATTGAAAACAATATATTAATATGTATCTATTTAAATGTGGAATTTACCCATAGGCTATCCCTATTATGGATACGCTGGATAGAACACATACTAATATGATAATACGTCGTATGTTTGTTAGTTATAGTTAGCTGGTATACAAAGTTACACAAATTACAAATACAAACTTGTATTACTTTTTCAACTTAAATATTTTAACGTGAACGGTTTCTTTCCAGGCTTATAAAATTGGATCTATTTCTCAAACCTCACTTTGTACCAGCATCACAACTAAGTTTTGTGGGCCTCAGTGCGACCAATGACAAAGCAGCACTTAAAATACTTTTATCATAAACAATTATTATTTTTACTAGAAAAAATATTTTAATAATATTCATTGACGTTTATTTTTTATTTTTTTTTTTTTGGGGGGGGGGGGGGGGGGTTATATACCTACACAAATCTTAAAACAGAAATTTATATTTAGCTCTTTTATGCTCAGAAGTGTGAATACATACTTTATATACAGTCATGTCCATTACCGTTAATTTGCCTAATGTTATTTACTATTAAACATCCATACAATAGTAATTTTTATTATATTAATAAGTTAAACATTTTTATCTT